CACTGCTTGGGCCTAGACTCCCCCCACACCTACCTGCCCCCCATGCTTCCATCCTCTACCCCCGCCTCAAATTCCCCCTCCCCCTACTCCGTTATTACGTCGTTACTCCACCACTGAGGCCTAGACACTCCTCCAACCGTCCTCCACGCCCATCAGGCCTCATCGCCACTCCCTCACACCCCCACTGAGATCTCTGCCTCCCTCGTGCCCCATTTTCACCATACCAAAATTAATATTACTAACAATAAAAATCCCTCCTTCCAAAAGCCTTGTGCATGTGGAAACAGGCAAAACATTTAGCCTGAATCTCAGTCTCAACGCCTATGAGCAATCAGAGTCCCAGGCATATAGCGATCCTGACCATAATGAATTCTGCTCAGTTAGAATTAGCTTCCAGCCCACCTCAGTACACATTCTCCATCGCCTGAATCACTCACCCGCTGTCGTGGCGTCTGATGTGGCCAACGGCAACTCCGGAGCTCCTCACCCGGAGCAACTGAAAAACGCGGGCGCGAGCTCTATATATAGAGTCCAGACCAGGAACTGACGTGTTCACGCTCCCTGTACCCACCTATCATATCGCAGCGTGGGTCGGAGGCAACCGTGAAACTTACGATTACGAGCCAGAGCCCTATCAACAAAGACTCCTGCGTCTATCACTTCCACGGGATGCTGCTTGTTTGTCCCAAAAGTGAAAGTGCCATCTCAATACAGAGCTGGGGACCCAAGCTCAATTCTGTGGTTTAGGTCCCTAACTTAACCTTCTGGGTGGTAAGGAAAAACCGAGCTGAACCCTAACAAACTTCATCCTTGTGAGAACTTAGCGAGCCTTGTCCCTTGCTTGAATTGCCCAAACCTCTAACCATTACTTTGAGCTTGTAGGTGGGGGAACGATGGGGGGGTCAGCTAGGTAAGAGCAAGGCAGCAACCCAACAGTGCCTGGCAACACTGATCTATGTTTGCTTCCAGAACTCTCCAAACCCTGGAGATAAAAAGGGGTTGGCTACTTTAAAGCTTTTTGGCACTTGCTCCAAACACGAGGGGAAAAAAAAAGGAAGCAAATACTTCCTAGATTGTGCCCATTTCTCCAGCAGACACTCATACATTTAATAATTCAAGTGTTTGGTCACCAGAACACAAAACGTTCCTGCATTTGATAAGAGTTTATTTTGTGCTAGGCATCGCTCCAAGTGTTTTATGTGGGTTTTTTTTTTTTTTTTTTGGAAGACAGATCGTTTGTAATACACTAGGAATTCGTGCCTCTGGATCAAATGGTAAACCAAAGCGCTTGTCTTTTGAGTTGGAGTCTCACTCTGTCGCCCGGGCTGGAGTGCAGTGGCACACTCCCAGTCACTGCAGCCTCCACCTCCTGAGCTCAGGCGATCCTTCTGCCTCAGTCTTCCAAGTAGCCAGAACTACAGACATGCGCTACCAGGCCCAGCTAATTTTTATTATTATGTAGAGATGAGGCTTCACCATGTTGCCCAGGCTGGTCTGGAACCCGCGGGCTCAGGCAGTCCTCTCACCTTGGCCTCCCCAAGTGCTGGGATTATAGGCCCTCAGCCCAGACTTATTCTTAGGACACTATATTGAAGAAATTGTTTCCCCCTCATTTATATCTGAGAAAATTGGCAGCCAAACAGCCTATTCTGATCCCTGCTGCAATGCTATGTGGCTCCCTTATATTCGTGGCTGAGTTCAACCATTGTACAGAGAAGGAAGGAAAATTTTGCCCCCAAGAATCAGTAAAAGAACGGTCTAAATAAAGTCCAAGACTACAAAGGTAAATGAAGTCAAAGATAATAAGAGGAATAAGCATGACTGTACTGGGGATCGTGGGCTTGTCTTCTTAATTATAAACTAGCCCCATCCCTCCTCTACCAGACATGGCTGAAGAAACAGTTCTTAAAATCATAGCTACAGTAGGAAAATCTGGTCCTTTTATGCATTTGGAGCTATTCAAATATAGGTTTCATCAATGGGTGATCCAATTATTCAGTCCAACATTCAATATTAACAGGACACAAAATACATCAGCCATATTAGGGGGAAATCATTCATTTATTGTTTAAGGATTGCAAGACAACATCTGAATTTCTGTAGCACAATTTAAATGTTTTACTTTTTTCATAAAGCAGAGTACAATAGAAAAAACAATTAGTTTCCAGTAATATCTATATCTCTATTCAGAATTAAGTCTTCCACAGACATGTTACCTGGAAATAAAAGCCTGTTACAATAAGCAAAGCTTCAACCAGAGCGGCTACTTTTCGTGCCAGGAAAAAGTTCATCCCTATAGAAGGAATGATGTGCTATGTAAAATGGCTGTAAGGTCACAGCCTTCAGGGCATTGGAAGTATAGTATCCTAATCCACATTAAGTAGTTCAGTGAACTTCAAACATCAGCATCTGCAACCATGCTGGCAACCTTTAACTGATATTTCCAATGGGTAAAAAATAAAGAAATCCCCTAACTGATTTTTCTTGATTTACGTGGTTAAAGGTACACAGTTCACTAACATGTAATTCTGGTTCAGAATTTGAAACTCCTTGTTCAGAATTTGGTTAGCAGTAAGAATCTTTCAAAAATTCAAGTTCTTATTAATCAATAATTTGTCAGCTAGGATACATTCAGGCATCAGCTGCAACTACAGAATAGATGTACAGCCTCAGCGCTTTGGAAAGACAATCTAGAGCACTACTAACAGACAAAAAATTATCTGCGACTGGATAGCATAAGTGCAGTACAGCAAGACAAAACATATATTCATATGTTGGCTTGTTTAAGCCTCAAGCCCTCAACCCTTTGTTGAGTTCTGATTTTATTCCTATTGTTTTTAATACCAAGAACTCAAGTTCCAGGAGGGCTAAAGTCTAATTTGTACTCCAAACCAAGTAGCAGTGCAGTTTTCTACTACTAAAGCCAAATCTATACAGACTTCAAAACCAAGTTCAGAAGACAGTTACTATATAATACCCTAAAGGTCTGAAAAGAAATTACTTTTACACATAGATGATCCTTCAGAGATTTTACCTATAAAATGTTTCTCAATGAAAGTTATTTAATGTATTAAATATAACTGCAACTTACTGATTAACTGATCAAATGTTTGAATATTTATACTTACCTGGAATTTCATTTCTGCTGAAAGAAATAGGAAGAACAGGACTCACTTAAAAAAAACAAACTTGAGAAAGGAAGGTAAAAATCTTATCACACATTATCACTTTTGGAAGCAGCATAGAAGGGGCAGTCAAGGGTAAACACTGGAGAAATAGGTCAATATTAGGCCAAAAAAATCTATTATTATTGTCAATGACAATATCACACTGTGCCCTTCATAACTAATAATTACTCCTAAGAATATTCATTTGGCACCAGATGGTGTGTTTAAGAGAAACACCCTGGGATGTTTGAATCAGACATGTTTTTGTTAGCTGAATTACAGGAGAAATCTTAAGGGGGGGCAAGGTGGGGAAGAGAAAGAAATGGGAAAGGACCAGAAAAAATGTTGAGTCACCATCTAAACCAACAAAGCATTGATAGCTCCAAAAATTAGGTCAGACACTAAAACAACTGATATAGGCTCAAGTGGTTTATAAAACCTATAAAAAGACTACACCAGCAAAGTCCCCGTTGATCTGTCAAAGTTCAGAAACTAAAACAGGGAGTAACATTTTAGCTTAAAACCTTATCTCAAGAGAATCATATACACTTCACATGAATAAAAATACCTGAAACCAAACATTTTTAAAAGCTCTAATACCCAAAATATAAAGAAAAAATATTAATTCAGAAGACTCAATCAAATCCATGGAATCACAAAACGGCTGGACAATCTCTATCTCCCCTCCACACTAACCATCCCATGGAAGACCAAGGGAGATCAGACCTTCCAGACCTACGCCCCACCTGGTTGCTGCAAAACTCTATGGAGATTCCTTGTGGAACAGCAGTTTCCCATCTCTTGTGTCTCTCCCTATCATGCAGGAAGCATGTCTGGCTGTGCTATTCTATTACCATTATATATCACCCATCTGCAACATGGTACTGTACAGATAAGTAAAAAGGATGTTATCTAGTTCCCTTTCCCCCAGAAGGTTGAGGCTCAGGTATAGGGGTGATTCTCCTGTGCATAGTCTTTATTTAGGCTGACTCAGTGACTTCAACAGGCTTAATCATGTGGTCAGGTTTGTTGCCAGCTGCATAATGCTCCCACATCTGTAGATAGAGCCGCTCTAGTTCCATCGTATATTGTTTGGTGTTGAATAGAGGGCTAGATATTCTCTGCTTCCAGACTTTGCCACGAACTTTCTTCAGGCTGGATAATAAAAGAATAGAACCAAGTTTACAAATCAGAGCAGAAACTCAGAACTAGATCATATAAATACCTAGTCACTTTTGTGGCAAAATACATGACCAAATGTCACACTACCTTCTTCTGATTGGCCTTCTGTTATCTCAATGCAAAAAAGGGAAGTCACGAGCTTACATAATGCTAACACTTATATAATATATATAATAGAAAAAATTTAGTTCTTTCTTAAACAAGTATATCCAGGGGATACCATGTGTTCTCCATTTGATCTCACCTTCTGAATATATTTTTAATGAGTTTTTTTGAGTTGGAGTTTCACTCTGTCACCCAGGCAGTGACAGACTCATGGCCACTGCAACCTCAACCTTCTGGGCTCAGGCGATCCTTCCACTTCAGCCTTGCAAGTAGCTGGAACAAGAGGCATGCACCACCACGCCTGGCTAATTTTTTTGATTTACCGTAGAGATGAGGTCTCGCCAAGTTGCCCAGGCTGGTCTTAAACCCCTGGGCTCAGGCAATCCTCTCGCTCCCGCCTCCCGAAGTACTGGGATTACAGACGTGAACCACCATGCCCAGTAGAGATTATCCTTCAAGTAGAGAACTACTACCTTAGAACCAGAAGTCAGAACAATTCTGTGCATTTTTAAAAGCAATAATTTTAAAAAGTAGTTTTAATATTTGCTGTGATAGAGTAGTAAAATGTTTGTGTAGCTACTGGTCTCAACTCAACCATATCCACGTTAATTCTACCTTCCAAAGAAAAAGACCTCTGCACTCTATTTTTTTTTAAGTTCTGTGTGTCAACAGGAGAATGGTTAAACTGTGGTACATGTATACAATGAAA